CTTTGGGTCTGAAGGCACAAAATGGCCCTGAACCACCAGGCTGTTTCATCTTTATATCCATTTTCACCCAATTAACAATAGACACCTGTATTGTTTTCATAAATGAACAAATAAGTTTTCTATATCTAATTACATAATTAAAACTGGGACTAACTTTCAACCAATCACTTTTTGTGCTCCTAAAACATGCAGAAGCATGGAGAAGAAGGAAGGAGGAGAGCTAAGAACAACACCCTTCTTCCTCCATCTTTACTCCATGTATTAAACACTCTAAAATCTCTGTTTTTGACTTCAGTGACATACTAAACATTCTACTACTTTCTATTTATTTTTTTACAAATCCTGGTTTACCCAGGGATATTTGGAAGCCTTTCTGTCAGTGATGAATACATTTTTGGAGAACATTTCTCCATTTCTGGGTTCCTACAGGTGGTCCAGAGCTGCAGTGTGCTGGGAGGCTCTCAGCTCCAGGACTCCACAAGCTCAAAATCTGAAAGAGGAGGGGGAAAAGTGGATTCAGTGTCTTGCAAGTTGCTGGTGAGCGCTGTAGAAGGCAGGAGGTCAGAGCTGGGTGTCAAAGCTCCTCTTCCCAGGCTACTCCTGAACATAGGGCACTCGGGCTAAATCACATTTCTGCTCCAAATTCCCTCTGGATGACTCTGCTGGTTGTTCCCAAGAGTAGAGGAGTTGAGAGAAGCAGTCCCAATGTGAGAAGGGAGCTCTTCCTGCTGGATGTTCTCCTTCAGCCCCAGGTGTTCCTCAGGAGCTGGCTCCGCTCACCAGCGCCGCGTCCATCCCCTCTGCTGTTTGTTACAGAAAACTCTGGAAGGAACTTTCATTTCAGAGGGACAGCACAGCAATTTTTCAAATGGCACTTGTCTCCTGGAGAGGGGCTGGAGCAGCCCTGGGCGATGGCACCGGGTCAGAGGAGCTCAGGGGATGACAGTCCTTGGTCGCATCCCTCGCCCCGGGTGGGATTTCGGGGAGTGCTGGCTGAGCTTGTCTGCAGGAGCAGAGCTGAGCAGATTGGCAGTGCCTTGGAAAATCTGGGAAAATCTGCCCCAGGAGCAAGGCTGGAATAAGCACATCCAAAGTTAAATAAGTGGCGTGGTCGGATTTCTGACTGAACACAGGAAGAAGAGGAATTGTCCCACGGGTGTGGACCTGGGCTGAGACGTGGGAGAGCTGCCTGCAGAGACAGGCTCCCCCCAAACCAGGGGCAGATGTTTTCCTCTTTCTGCCTTTCCATCACTCAGAACCCCCTGTGTGCTGGTAAGCAAATTGCTGCTTCTCTCACACATCCAAATCCCAGTCTGCTCCTGCACCCTTCACTTTTGCTCCCTTAAAATAAAAATACTCTGGAAGAGGAAACATCTCTATTTTAGCAAAACCAGGCTGTGTTCTCAAGAGCAACGACAAAAGTACAGTCAAGAACCAGGAAAACAAATGGCAGAGTTTCATCTTGTAGGAAGTTTTCTATTTTCTTTATCTTGAGATCCTGCTGCAAGCGGAGCCATCCTTGTTATCCACCTACTATTGGGTGCTATTAATGAGATGCTTAATTCTTCTTAATATCACAGCAATCTGTGAAATGGAACAGATTGAAATTCTAATAGTTAATAGCTGAATAAATACATCTGCCAGCCAAAGACCATCTCAAGTATTGCTCAATGTAACTGTAATTAAGCTGTAATTAAAGCCAGTTAAAGCCATCAGACATCTGGGTGGTGAGAGATTAGGTCCATCCTGCTGCTTTCATTCCTCCTGTGAGAGTCAGGGGGTTAATGGGACAGTCCTCTCGTCATGGGAGTGGATTCTCAGTAATCATGGTGACCAGATTTGCAGTGATGGCTTCATTAGAAACACACTGGGGAAAAAAGAATAAAGATATTAGATATTATATTAGATATTATAAAGATATTAGAGGCTGATCTGTTGGTGCCAGTTCAGGTGGAGGGGATAACTTCTGGTTGTGGTCTTTGTGAGGAATCCTACATGGACATGAATCAAAAGTTTCAGAATCAGAATGGCTGGAAGGGAACATAAATTCCATCTTGTCCCAGCCCCTGCCATGGGGACACCTTCCACTAGATCAGGCTGCTCCTACCTGGACCTTTTTGCCATAATAATTTAAAATACTTGTTGCAGTTGTTTTTGCAGGCTGGGAGCTAAAGGAGCAGAAATAAATGATAAAGGAGAGTGCTGGTCATATATCCCAGAAATATCCCTGCAAAACCTTACAGTTGTTTTTGGAAACTGCCAGGTGCTGCCTTTATTACTTATAAATGCCAAGGAAGAAATGAAATTGCTTTTCATAGTGTATCCCTCCAACCTGGGGAAGTTTCTGTGGATGTCTCTGGAGGAGAGAGCTTTACTTAATCCCCTTAAAATTGGTGTGAGTGCTCCAGGTTGTTTTGCTGTTCAAGCCCTGCTTGTCCTTGTGTCTTCCCTTGCTTTGCTGAGGATGGGGAAGATGGGTGACTGGTTTTGGGTCAGTTTATTTATTGCATTGTGCTGAATCACCCTGGTGTTGGTTCTGAACTGACACTGGTTGGGGTTTGATGTTTTTAAATTCATTTTTGAGTTGTGATACTGAAGACTTTGCTTTGTGAATTACCTGCTCTGGAACATCTTTCCTCACATTTCTGATGACTTATTTCCTAGGAGGGAATAAAAATTATAAATAAATAAAAAATATAATAATAAAAATAATAATATAAATAATAATATAAATAATAATATAAAGAATAATATAATCAATAATATAAATAATATAATCAATAATATAAATAATAATATAATCAATAATATGATCAATAATATAATCAATAATATAAACAATAATATAATCAATAATATAATTAATATAAATATAAAGTATAAATATATAAAATATAAAGCATATTTAATAAAAGTATTAAAATTTAAATAATCTTAAAAACAAGAAAGATATACTTTTATATAAATATATAAATATAAAAATAAAATTAAGAAGTCTGGAGATATGGCAGAGACAATGGAAGTGATTTTCTTGCTGAGGCTGTGTTGTGAAAAAAAACCCTCAACCCTTTTTGAGCAAAACTCTGTGTGGCAGAAAGAAAATAGGACAGTTTGACTTGATGAGGATTTATGTCTGTTGGGTTTCTCTGACTTTAAATACTATCTACCCCAGAATCTGAGTTATTAAACCTCAGTGACTGATGTATCTACACAGAACAAGGAGTGACCCTGAACCTTTGCTAAGCTTTTAAAACACAAAGTTCATTTATTTAGATTTTCTTTCTCTGTCTCTAAAACTAGAATGGAGAAAAGGAATTGAGGGCTTACCTGAGAAAGCCAGAGAAGAGCAGGAGCCCTCAGAGGTGATAGAGTTGTTGTGAAAATAACATTTCTACAAGTAAGACTACACTTTTTGGCTGCATTTCCTTGAAATCTGCTGGAATTAGAGACTGGGCTTTGCACATTCATCTACCCTTATAGAAATTTATATGACCACTCCCCACCTTGAGTTTTGGCAAGCACTACTCAATATTTCATCTTAAATTGATGATGTGTACACTAAATACTCTCTGAATATGAACTGTAGCTCTAGGAGGTCCTTTAGGTACTCAGCTTTAGTAAGCTGAGCTTTACCTGCATCAGGGCTTCATTTTCCAGTGCTGAGAGCCCAGGGGAGAGGATTTAAACAGTGCTGGACTGTTTCAGCTGTTGTGAACTCTCAGATTTTGCCAAGGCTTTGGGTTTTAAAGACAGAAGAGAGAATAGAACCCTCTAAAGCCACATCTTTTAGCCTTGAGACAGTATAAATCTCTTTTTCCAGGATGCCATGTGCCAGGTTTGCAGCATCCCAGGACCAGGATGCCATGTGCCAGGTTTGCAGCATCCCAGGACTTGAAGCAGTCATTATTTAATAATGATACATTATATAAATATTATAGAAGTATGTGTATATATAATGATTATAATATATTGTTATTATATATTTGCGTTACATATTACATTACATATTTATTAATTACATGCATTACATATTTATTTATTACTCATTATTATCTATTTATTCTATATAGTTATTATTATATTATATAAATATAATAATATTTATTAATTATTAGATAATTAATAATGATACATTATATGAATATTATTTAAATATGTATATTTAAAATAGATATAATATAAATTATCTAAATTATATAAATAATTATATAAATAATATACAAGTATATTATTTTAAAAAACAATTAATATATTTTAATGTTAGTTATTTCCTCCCAGATATCTCAGGATGCAGATATTATTATTGCAGATGATATATTGTTATTATATATTTACATTACATATTACATTACTTATTTATGATATAATTTATTTATTTATTTATTTATTACATATTTATTATTATATTTTTATTTATATATTTATTTTATATAAATATATTAATATTTATTAATTATTATATAATTAATAATTATATATTATATAAATAATATTATTATATGATATAGATATTATAAATAAATAATATTATTAATATATGATATAAATATTATAAATATATGTGTATTTAAAATATATATTATATAAATTATATAAATTATATAAATAATTCTATAAGTAATATACAAGTATATTATTTTGATAAATAATTAATATATTTTAATATTAGTTATTTCCTCCCTGACATCTCAGGATGCAGATTCACACACACCAGACACACACAGGCACAACTTCCCTTATTTTGCTCTTTGGCAGCACTCAAGTAGACACAAAGCAATGAAAGAAAGGAGTTAATTTCTCCCTTGTTCCCAATGAATTTTGCATGGGAAGCAGCCATGTGCACTGGCATCACTCTGTGCTGGAGAGCAGAACTCTGCTGGGTCAGCAACCC